ATCAGTGTTCTTACCAGTCTAGACAAAAAGAGAAAAATCCTCTTTTTTTCTCTTCACAGAAGACTCCTTAAAAAACTACTACTGCTTAGCAGCAAGCCAAAATACAACCAGCCTGGAGTAAGCTATAGAGAAAAGGAGGGAAAAAATAGTAATCATTGGATACTTGGTGTGGACAAGCATTTGTAATGATTTAGCCAGAGCCTTCGAAGGAAACAAAAGTGAGGTAAGCAAAAGACAGCTTTCAAGATACAAGCTCCCTTCTGAACTGCTTATGGGAAAGACTTCTAAAATCAATATACTCCTGCTTGAGTCCAGAACTCCTGTGACAAATGGAGCTGTTGACCCATCACGAGCTTCTTTACAAGCTTCTTGTGACATAATATAGGAAAAAAGCATTCCATATTCAGATGTCAAATGTCATCTAACAGGAATTTTGTTGCTCTATTTCATCTGGACAGTAAAAAGGCCATTTAGAACTTTCACTTTGTGGAAACTGTTTCAAAAACCAGTAATTAATTGGTAAAGACATGAACTTTTGAGATAAATACAGTCCTTTTGACTAAAATTTATCATTACGTCCCAAATATATTTCAAAGTTTCTAAATACTTACTTCTTCAGGTGTGATTACTCCAGTTTCTTTGAACTTTGACTCCTGCAATAAAAAAAGTTTAGAAATTTTGAGAACTGCTGACAAATTGAAGTACCCCACTTTACTGGTAAGACAAACAGAGAATCATAGAATCAACCAGGTCAGAAAAGACCTTTAAGATCATCAAGTCCTGCCTTGGAACTAGCACTGTCCATGGATATCTGTTAATCAGCTTGGAGACCAAGCAGCTCTCTGTCAGGGCTGACAGCCAGCCTACTTCCATATCCTCTGATGTATGGCTCAACAAAATTACTTTTTACAGAATGTGGGATATTATGAAAAAAGATCACACATTAATTTTATTTTTTTTTTTTTGCTGCAGCCAATTAATATATCAAAACTGGAGAAAATCTCCCCCAGAATTCAGTACTACATTTGCCAGTGAGAGACAGAAAACGAGTCAGAATCAGTGATTCTCAGAAACAGGACTTTGGGACTGTTCTAGGTGCTGAACAGCACTACAATGGACCAGTATGAGGCTTTGCAGTTAAGAAAGGTCAATAAATGAACGACCAAACCAACTTTTATCTGTGGTGGGAAAAGTTGCGTAGAAAGACTTCGTTACTAACTTTTTTTTATATATTCATTTTTGTGGTGCCTTCATTATGCACTCTATGGAAACAGTTCAGATTTTCTCACATTGCCATGATTTTTTTTATGGATGAGGAATAGACAACAATGAGCAATATAATTTAGCTCTACATGGAGAAATTAAGTACCTTTGCATTAAAGGTGATATTTATGAAGTTTAAGGATAAGGCTTTTTTTAGCATATTCAAATCTAGAATATTTTGTTTCAGACTTCTGTTTGGTTTGTTTTTTTTTCTTCAGAAGAGTCACAATCATCAAAGAAACTTAGTGCTCCCCAGCATTAGAGCTATCTAAGAATGGCTTTTGAAAAAGAAGTAATGTCAACCATAGCATAGTTGACTTTTCAAGTTCTTCTGTCATCAATTACTGAATAACTTCTTGCCTTAAAGAACTTGTGATTTTTTTTTTTATTTTTTTTTTAAACTAAAAGCAGCAACTGCAAAGCACCTCACTTTCCACTACAACTTCACCTTATTTAATCATTGGGAAATCATTTTAATGCCAATCACTGCTTAATTCGTTTATTCTTTATGCTTCACCCCGGTGCGTACTATCACCTGCACTATGTAAAAAGAAATGAGCACACAGCAAACCTGTTTCCTTTCTCCCTCATTTCTAAAGATAACACCTTTAAGAACAGTATTAAGATAAGCAAAAGAGCAGTTGTACAAGCACCAATACGCACTAGTTAACAGAAACCAAAGAAACTCAAACAGCCCTAATTTAGCAATTTGGATTGCTATAAAACTGAGAATTCTCAATAACACATTATGCAACAGCACAGTGGAGACAACTTACTGTTTAATTTCAAAATACACTATAAGGAGTAGGCAACATGCATAAGCTTGGTTTCTGGAATTACATATGGAAAATATGTAAAATATCCATCCTCCATGCCCTAAGGATAAACAGTTCAGTTTTTCATCTCTACATTCTGTTGGTATGTAAGCTAGTGAGATACACAGGTATAGTTTCTTTCAAAGTTACCAAGTTGGAGTATTTATTTCAACCCCTTGTAAATGGAACATGTACACTGTTATATCTTTCCATTTGTAGGGGGTTTTACTGCTGCCTCCTCCCAGTAGTACATCTGGGCACAAGAAATCCTCTACCACTACACCAGCTGTGCAACAGCAACTGTACCATGGTAAACAAGTCACTTCACTTTTCCATGCCAGAACTGCAGTCTGTAATACGTCACATTGGTGGGTAACTGTAGAAAGGTCCACTATGCAGGCAACATACCACAGAGGGGCAAGTTCAATTAATTATTAAGTATCATGTCTTCTGCACAAAGATCTAAGCTGCAGAGTACAAAGCACCTAAAAGATCATGCCGTAAAACCACAGGTAGAAGCTGCTATCATAAACAATTACAGCAAAAGTAGTTTTTCAAAAAACATGGGGAGATGTGAAAATCAGTGGTGAAGGAACTGCTGACAAGTCAGGCATTCACAAAGTTGACTTTTATGTAAAGAAGTATTTGTAAATAGGAGACAGAAGATGGGATGTAGTCTAAGAACTGCAGAAAAGCACAATCAGTTAAGTATCCTTTATCAAAAGAAGCATGACCAGTAGGTCAAAGGAGGTGATCCTGCCCCTCTACTCTGCTCTCGTGAGACCCCACCTGGAGTACTGTGTGCAGTTCTGGTGTCCTCAGCATAGGAAGGACATGGAGCTGTTGGAGCAAGTCCAGAGGAGGGACATGAGGATGACAAGGGGGCTGGAGCACCTCCCATACGAAGGCAGGGTGAGAAAATAGGGGCTGTTCAGCCTGGAGAAGAGAAGCTGCGTGGAGACCTCATAGCAGCCTTCCAGTATCTGAAGAGGGCTTATAAAGGATGCTGGAGAGGGACTCCTCATCAGGGACTGTAGCAACAGGACAAGAGATAATGGGTTTAAACAGGGGAAGTTCAGGTCAGACACAAGGCAGAAGTTCTTTACTGTGAGGGTGGTGAGCAACTGGCACAGGCTGCCCAAAGCGAATGCCCCAACCCTGGCAGTGTTCAAGGCCAAGGGGACTTTGAGCAACCTGATCTAGTGGAAGGCGTCCATGCCCATGGCAGGGGGGTCAAAACTAGATGATCTTAAGGTCCTCTGAACCCAAACCACTCTATGGTTCTATGAAAGCTTAGCCAATTTAATAGAGAACAGCAATAAGTAAGTTATTTCTCCAGCAATAGGTCCAGCAATACCTGGCCTTCGAAGGTCCGCACCTCTCCAGCGAATGCTCCCACCCCTAATGGAATGGGAGCTCCCACTCAGGTTCCCTCCATCCTGTATGGCACAGCGCAAGACGAGAGTCGGTGGCTCTGAAGCCGCAAGGCTGCCCCTGCACAATCTCTCCCGAGGCCTGAAGGAGCACGGCGCCCTCTGAGGCGCTCCGCCGGTTGCATAAAGCCGCTGCAACCAGAGTTCTTCAGGCCGGGACAAGCGAAACCGCAGCCGCCGAGCGCCTTCCGGGAAGGCGAAGCGACTCCCGGAGCGGTCGGGCGCTCCTCGCGTCCTACTGGGGCGGCAAAGCAATGCCTGCGCCATAAGAACCCGCGAGCGGCCGCACTGCGGGTGACACCCCAGGCAGAGGTGAGGGAAGCAGGACAACTCTACAGCCACCCGCGACCGGAGGCTCGCGGCTCCGCGGGCCACCCTGCTTTAAAAAAGCAGGCGCATCCTCCACCCTTAACAGCTCCAAAACCTCCCCTCACTTCACCCCGCTCCCGCACGGACCGGCACCTTGAGCACAGGGGTGAGGTACTCGGCCACCTCCAGGGCCTTCCCCTTCACCGTGTTGATGACGTTCTGCATGCTGCCGGCGGGCCCCGAGAGCAGGAGGAGGACAACCACCTCCCCCGCCCCTCGGTCAACAAGCTTCTTGGCGGCGGCACTCTCCCCGCGTCGCACACACGTTGACGACACACCGACGCTCAGCACCTCGTCGCGCCCGGCACGGCACGGCCCGGCGGTGATGGGCCTGCGCCGTAGCGGGCCCTGGTCCGCCGCAACAAGCCCGCCCCCCGGCGCGTGCGTGCGCGCGGCGGGAAGGTCCGGAGGGAGGAGAGGGGCCATGGCTCTTGGCGCGCACGCGTGTCCCGCAATGGCGGGGGGAGGAGCGCGGTTCCTCGCCGTCACGCAGCCGGGAGGGCCGATTGTCAAAGAGAATGAGGTGCGCGCTCCCGCGCGGGGCGGGTGAGCAGGCGAGGGGAGTGCGCCGCCTGCGTGAGAGGGAGGACACCGCCTGGCCTTGCCAGGTGAGGCCGGTGGAGCAGGGCGGGAGCCGGGCAACGCGCTGGGTTGCGGGAGAGCTTGGTGCGGGCCGCTGAGGTGCTTGCTGGCTGTGAGTGCGGCTGAGGCAGCTGGCGATGGGCGCGGCGGGCGAGCAGCGCGGGTGAAGGGGAGCCGGTGTGTGCTGCGACCGCGGCGGCTGAGCACCGGCCGCTGCTGCCGCCTCTGCTGACCCCGCTGCCCCCGCTGCCCCGGCCTCAGAACCCGGCTCGTCCCACGCGGCTGCGGCCCCGCTCCTGGCTGCAGCCGTGTGCCGACCTGAGGCAGCGACGTGGCAGCCGGCGGTCCGCAAAGCCAGGCGAGTGGTCCTTCAGCGGGGGGGGGGGGGGTGCGGTCGGCGGCGCTTGCTGGCCGCTTTCTCGCCGCCGTTGCGAGGTGAGTGTTCGCTCCGTATGTCCCCGGCGGCGCGCAGCGCTGACACTGCGGGGGGGTCTGCTTTGAAGCCGCTCTCCCTGCCGCCCCTGGCCCCTGCTCCCTGAGGTGAAACGGCGCGAGCCGTGGCTGCTGTTAACGAACATCCTGCCCGCAGCCGGCCCGAAGGGGCTCCCCTCAGGCCTCTTCACCCGGCAGAGGGCCCGATGCTGGCCGTCTGCGAGTCGGTTTGTCAGACCTGGAGATCCGCTAACGGGTCGGCCGAGTAACGGTAACGCTAGAGACGGGGAACCAGCGGCAGGCACAGCTGAGGCTCTGCGTGCAGCCATCCGTATACCTCCCGTCCTCCTGGCTACAAGCCGGTGCTGAGTAAGTGCCAGATCTTCTCTGAGGTGTTGCTCTCGCTGAATAGCTGTAAAACACTCCCTTGCTGGAATTTGGAACAATATTTTTAAAAATCTTAAAGGAAAATAAACCTGTCGCCTGTTTGTTCCTCATAGGTAATCAGTATTCCATAGATGCAATCTTCTGACAGACTGGCCTCCTGTGCCACCTTCTGAATATTCTGTGTTCATTGCTTATCCCCCTTTTGCTGCTCCTTATAGCATATCTTTCACTCTCTCTTTTTTTTTTTTTTTTTGATAAAAAGGAAAAAGATAACTGCAGACTGAGATTATAGCTTGTGATGTAAACATCTTTGTGTAAAATAACACAAAGAAGCAAAATACATTTCACCTGGTTTAATCAGTTTCTGGAAGTACTATTTACAGTGTATTTTCATTTTGTCATCCAAAGGATATTGACAGTGAGACAGCAGAATGAAGTGCTGTAATCGAGTTGTGTTTTGCTCCAAGACAACCATCTATACTTTTCTGCTTGGAGGCGTGTTTATTGCACTGGGCTCAAGTCGAATCCTCCTGATGAAGTATTCTGCCAATGAAGGTGCTGTTGGGCAATAAACACGATGTACCTCAAATAAGGAGTTGACATTTGGGGTAAAAGGAACACTCAGAAGCCTACTTTTCCACCTGCAGAGTTCTTGGGATAAACATTCAATTGTATAAGTAGTGACATGTATTTCTGTACTGGAAAATCTCTGGTCTAGCATATAGTGATAACTTGGGTTGCAAAGTGTATGATCCATGTGGTGATTCACCCTTAAAAGATGAGGCAGTGAATTATTTTATAGCTGATTTTCAAAGGCTAAATTGTTGTATAAGCAATAGTAATGGTATGTGTCTTGACTGAAATATTTGTTTTGCAACAGGCTTTGGAGAAAAGTGGTATCAGAGTGGGTGTGCTGTAGCTGCCTAGAATTACTGGTGCTCCTTCCGCCAAGTATTAGCAAAATATGCTAACAAAGAAAAGATACAGGCCTAGAAGAAAGTTGTGTCCTCCCTCCTGAAAAGCCATTTTTTGCCAGGAGAAAATAATAGTATATTGTCATTTGGGGAAAATATTCCTAATTAAAAAAAAAAAGAAAAAAAGGATGCTCTTGAGTTCTCCCTAAAAATTCTGTAAAGTGGGACCAAATGAGGAAAGATTTCAACCCAGAAAGGAGGCAGTTCAGGAAGCTGTATATCATAAAAATTGGAATATTTATAATGAAAGTGCTGATAGAGCCTTTTGCGTTTATGGAAAGTGGCTAAAATTCTGACCTGAGGGATTAAAATAGTTTCTTGCTCTAATTATAAACACAGGAGACAGAATCTGATTGTGTACTCTCTGATTTGCTGAATCCCACAGATAACAAATATGATTATCTTCCTACAACAGTGAACATATGTTCTGAAGTAGTAAAATTGGTCCTGTGTTTGGTATTGGCACTATGGGTTAAGAAAAAAGGTAAGTACCTGTGTCTGAAATAACTCAAATGTGTTGACTTTCTAAGATTTGCTGTAGTACTTTCTCTTTTTTCTTTTTTTCTTTTTTTTTTTTTTAATGGTATATTCACTTGTAGTATGGAGTAGGTCCTGCTAGTAAGGTTCTCTGGAATTGTGTCTTCCGTGCAGAGTTGCAACAAAACTTTGCTTTTATAACTTCATGCTGTAAATTCAGGTGTTCTTCAGTTGTATGCATGGTGGCTGAAATGGGGGCAGATAAGTTGAATTAGAAAGTGTAATGAAGACAGGGTCTTCACATTCTCTCAATTTTAACACAGTATATGCTAGGATAATAGTCACTGTTCACAAAATAGACTGAAGAGAAGCTTAAAAACTGCACTAACCCAAGAATTGGCCTTTATTCTGTTCTTCTGACCACTTTTATTTAAACGACTCTTCCACTGAAGAGGCTTTGTGTGTGTAGTGGTATTTGAGTCAGAAGCAACATCCCAATGTTATAATTCAAGGTGGCTTTGCTGTGAAGACAAATCTTAGGGCTGCTCTTCAGAAAAATCAGTGTTGGGCCTCAGTAGCTACTGGTTTGACATTGCAGGCTATTTTTCTTTTTCTTTCTTGGCTTTTCTGTCTTGATGTAAAAAGAACAAGAGCTTAAGCTTGTAGCATTTCAAAATGGTAAGAAACATGTTTAAATTGGAAGAGGGTGTCAAGCACTGGAGACTTCTGTTAAACTGAACTGTTATTTTTATCGACTTCTCCATCTAACAGTCATGGCTCTAGCAAGCTGAGGAAATTTTTACTTCCACCATTTAGTACAGTCAGTGTTTGCCATCATTGGCTACTGTTGATTATACATTTTCTGTTTGTTTGGGTTTTTTTCCTTCCAGATGCCTGAGTTTTTCTGAACTCAATGTGTTGGTGGTTCAGAGGAGGATTAAATAACATTGTGTAGTCTTAAATCTTTGCTAACAAAGTACTTCTGTCACCAGCTCTTAAGTTTATCACAGTCTTCATCCTAAAGTGTGTGTTCTGAATACCTAAGTAAATGTCATACTTTGTGCCTTGTCCTTTCTTCCTTTTTCCTATATGTTCTGTTTTTACCCAGATCATGTCCTGTGTGCTACAGATACTGAATTCTGGTTTATTTTGTATTTCTGACATTACTGACTGCCTTTTTGGTGCTGTATGAACAGATTCACTGTCTGTGTCATTGTTTCATTTCTAGATTTGATGGATGATCATCAGGAAATCATACCCAGTGATGATGTCACTGTTGTGTGGGGGCTTTGGGTTGCTTTTTGATCCTCAAAGAATGGTTGGTAATTGGATTTTTTCTCCCAGTAGACAAACACTCTGATGGGGGTAACAGGTTCCTTGATGTTTTCTATGTCGAAGCAAGGAGATCTGTAGGCACAGGATTGCTGCTCTGGCTGTGTCTTCTGCCCTGGATCTGTCCTCTGTGTTGCCAGAGGGCTGTAGTATCTTAGGTTTGTTTTTTTTTTCAGTCCAGCAGTGTTCCTGAAAATAGAACAGTGGTACCTATTCTGTTACATGGGAATGGACTTTTGATAATAAGATTATTTTCTTGCTGATTTCCTTTCAGAGGGTTGTTTGGATCATCCCTTTGACTGTCTTTCCTGGAAGAATTTTTGTAATTCCATGAAATGGTCAATTCCTGCCTTTCTCTACTTTTTGGATAACTTGATTGTCTTCTACGTACTGTCCTACCTCCAGCCAGTAAGTATACATATAATGAATAAAATATCTTCCGATGTCTTAGTGGTAGGTAAAATTGCCTTTAGACTATCAACAGTTGTAATACCGGCAAGGCAAGATTTGCAGGTAGAAGAATGATCTTGTTACCTTACCAAGGAGACCTTATTCTCTTGCCCACTGGTCAGTGTTGTACAGCTTTGTCCTGATTTTGGCTGGGATAGAGTTAATTTTTCCTAGTAGCTGGTACAGTGCTGTATTTTGGCTTTAGTCTGAGGACAGTGTTGATAACTGTGTTGATAACACACAGATGGTTTAGTTGTTGCTAAGTAGTGCTTACCCTAAGTCAAGGACTTTTCAGTTTCCCATGGTCTGCCAGTGAGGAGGGACACAAGAAGCAAGGAGGGAGCAGAGACAGGACACCTGACCCAAACTAGCCAAAGAGGTATTCTGTACCACAGCACGTCATGCCCTATATATAAACTGGGGGACGTTGGCTGGGAGGTACGGAGTGGGCACCAGTGGTGAGCAATTGCACTGTGCGTCACTTGTCTTTCTTGGGTTTTATGTCTTTCTTGGGTTTTATTTCTCTCTCTTTTTTTTTTTGATGATGATGATTGTTGTTGTTATTATTGTTGTCAACTTTATTTCAATTATTAAACTGTTCTTACCTCAACCCACGGGTTTTACGTTTCCAGTTCTCCTCCCCATCCCACCAGAGGTAGGGAGTGAGCAGGTGGCTATGTAGTACTTAGCAGCCCACTGGGTTTAAACCATGACAATCATTTTTAGTGTCCAGAGTGGCACCAAAGTATTGAGATAATGACAGATCTGACCAGAGCATGCTATAAGAAATTTGTTATAAGCATTCATTGTATTGATTTAATAGTCGCTAGTCACAATGTTGGTTTATTTGCTGTCAGGGTTGTTGTGCTTGTTCTCAGGGTTGTGTTGCGTAACTCCTCACTTGCTGTACATGTTCCCTGCTGTGCTGTTTATCACCTTTGGGGGCCGGGCTAAAGTTACCATTTTGCTGTACTTTGTAATATTGGTTTATGATATGATAGAATTCCTGGTTGTGAAACTGAGCTGGTATGTGTACCCAGCATTGTTATCACCTCTGTACTTTGGGAGTAATCTGTTGGAAACTATTAATAATTATACCTTTTACCTTTTCTCCTTGGAGAGCCAACCTATGAAAAAGACATCTCTCCACATCTTCACCTCCTCCTCCAGGCCAATTACGAAAACATTTGAGAATTCTGAAAATTTTTATTATACTTGGGATGCTCAGATCGGCATGGCCCTATTGCTAGGAGCCATGAATGTGGTTCAGGTCTTCTTTAGGGTTAAGCAGCTATTTGTGCTACTCCAATCCTGGCAATGGCTGATGCAGCTGAACCAGAGGACCAATGTGTGCTGGCATCAGTTGTCCCTATACACAAGAAGAAATGGACAAGGAAGTCAGCTCATTCAGTAAAGGAGGATGAAGCAGGGCCACCACAATTACAGGAGGAGTGAGTGGAACAAGAAGTAACCACTTGATCACTATCCCCGATTGAGCTGTGCAATTTGCAAAAAGATTTCAGCTGTCATCCCGGTGAGCACATTATCACCTCGCTGCTCCCTGGGATAACAGGGCTAGTAGCCTGGAACTAGAGGGTAGGTAAGCCAATCATCTGGGGTCACTTTCTAGGGAAGGGAGAATTGAGAAGGCAACTGGGAGTGGGTCACAAGTTCTCAGCCTCTGGAGGCGGTTCCTGTGAAGTGTCAAGGAATGGTAACTCTTCAAGGAAGATATTAGATGTCACCCAGGCAATTGGAAGGCAATGTAGAGAAGTATCCAGTATCTGAGAGAATTGGCTGTGCTAGAGATGATTTATTATGACTTGAACAATGCACAGTTACCCACAGATCCAAAGTTCAATGCACATGACTCATGTTGTGGAAATATGTATGGAGCGCACCATTGTTGTATGCCAACTTGATAGTAATGACCTAGAGAGATGAGATGCCACAGTGGTGGATGAAATGGTTCACCATCTCTGGCAATACAAAGAAAATCTCTCGTCCTCCCAAAGGACTTGTTTCTCAGCTGTGGAAAAGCTGTCCTGGGAGTTCCAGTGATTCAAAGAAGATACGTCCTATTCTCTATCTGTATGGACCAGTATTTCATCTATTAACAGCAAGCATTCTTTTGCTCGAGAGGGAGAATATAGAAGGTACACACCCATGGGTACCCTGTGGTTTTACCTGTGGTGCCACAGAAAGGACATGAGGAATTGGGATGGAAAATTTGCGTTGACTCTAGAGGCACAGGTATATGAATTGCAAGGAAAAAACATCACAAGTGGGAGTTCTTCCAGGAAAGTTGCTGCTCCAGTCTCCAGTGAGCAGTTCTCCAGAGAGAGTGGAAAGGCTGATCTTACTCCTGGTCCTGTTGAAAAGAAGTATAATCCATTTTTTCAAGAAGGAGGTGGGGACTAGAAGAGGGACAGCTGGGTTTACTGGACTGTGTGGATCAGATCACCTGGCATGTTGGACCCACAGAAATGTAATGTTCTAGTTACACAGCGTACCCTAATGTTATCGAGCTATGAAGGGGAGGAATCCATTTGTGTTTCTAGAGTGACAGGGGGATCCCAGCAGCTGACTGTACTGAAGGCTGACATCAGCCTGAATAGGAAGGAGTGACAGAAGCACTACATTGTGACTGGCCTAGAGGCTCTGTGCATCCTTGGCACATACTATGGCAGGAGAGGGTACTTCAAGGACCCAAAAGTGCGCTGGTAGGCTTTCAGTATGGCTGCCTTGGAGACAGAGGAAATTAAACGGCTATCTGCTTTGCCTGGTCTCTCAGTAGAGGAGTCTCCGTGTATTTTCTCCATTTGAAATGATTTAGAAATAGACTGAATTGCTTAAGTACTAGGCAGGTTTTCTATGCTTTCACTCATTTGGTTTCTTCAGCTCTGTATTTCTCTTTCAATGTGTTTGCTCATCTTGCTTATATTTGAGCTGCACTTTTCTGTGCAGCTTCTACTAGTTTATATATATGACTTCACATAATTACTTGTTTTCTTTCCTCAATGACTCCAAAGAGAAATGAGTAAATGTAAATCCCACAAATAGAGTAAGTGTAACAGGAAGTGAGGAGTGGAGGAGGCAAACTGACTCTTAACTAACAAACAAATGCAAAAATTATGTTTAAACACAAAACTTAATTGGTACTTTCCTCTAGCTACATTCATCCTTTTGGATAAATCTACATATGTTCAGGAAATAGTACAGGTTTTGTGCTTTTCTTTATTTTCATTCCATATCTATGTTTGAAGTTAGAAACAGATGTTAGTGCTTGCTATAAGGTATTATGGCAGCCTCTGTTTAACATTAAAAATATGTATAAATATTTCTGTTCCTTTTCTGTCAGAACTTCTCCTTAAAATATTGTTCTTTTAGGTGTACATTTGTGTCATGAACAGGGCAGAGTCTACAATAAGACTTGGCTGCAAAAATGTAATTTAAATCAAGACTTAGATATCTTAAAATAACATACCCAGTGCTTGGTTCTGTGGTTTGTTGTGTATGGGTTTTGGCAATGTTTGTTTTTTGTTTTTTTTTGTTGGTGATGTGGTTTTGGTGTTGGTTTTGGATTTGGCATTTGGTATGTTTTCTGTTGGGTTTTTTTTTTTTTTTTTATTTTAGGAAGGAAATTCAGTTATAATGTTAGTAATAACAAAGCCTGATGTTCAGAAGGTTACATGAACACTATTGCTTTTTTATGCAAAGGTTATACATCTTTTGCAGTATGGATGGCTTTTAGATTTTACACCCCCACTCCTCCCCTGATGCGCACACCTTGTTTCTCTCCCCTCAGAGCATGTGCTCGAAGATTTCTCTTTTTTAGAACTCTTAGCATCTTGTATCTTTTAAATGGGTATGTTCTATGAGGGTTAGCTGTAATTGTGCATAATCATGGTAAACAAGTATTAAAAGACCAACTAAATACCTGTAAGATCGTAGATAAGATAGAACACCTTGGCAGTGTACAAGACAAAGTGAAAAGGTAGAGGCAAGGTGCTTGAAAGGAGGCCATACTGCGCTGAACTTGGTTTCATGTGACTTTAAAAACTTACTAGGCTTCCAACTAATTAGCACCTGGGTGACAGTTGCTTGAAGTATGAAGTTGCTTTGGGGCAATTTTTTTAAATTTTTTTGTTTGTAAGCTTCAGCTCTAACAACTATGGATACTCTTTAGCAGGTAACATTTCCTAGTGATAAGAGATTTTCAGAGATTCTGTTTGTAGCATGTAAGTTTGTGGTATGGTGATATTTGGTAAATTTTTTCTTGCTCCTTCTCATCTATGACAAAGGTCCCTTGAGGCCTCAGAGAACAAAGCAACTCAAAATTAATTCCTTGTAACTATCCTACTACAGATTTTGATCATATTATGTTACCAAAGCTGTTGGATGTGGGGGTTTGACTGTAAAGCAAAACCAGAGTACTATGGAACACTTGTACATTTTGCATCAAGCCTCTTTTTTTCCAGAGTTGTTTCTGCCAGATTCACTTCTTTATGCAATATTTTTCTTGTTCCATAAATATTTATTCTGTTGTAATCTTGCAAAAAGGAAAATTAAGCTGCTGTGTCTTAGGCAGATGTCTCATGTCAGTCTTCAGCTTACTTGTGACCCTGTGTTGTTTGTTTCATGAGATTTTTTTTTATTCAGCAGAGAGTACCTTGGAACAGACTGGAACTAAGGTAACAGGAAAAGGATCTGTGGTTTTCCTCTAGTAAATGAAAAAGGCTCTGTTATTGTGGAATCAGGAATGTGGAAATGCAGATGAGGAAGTTCAAGACAGTGTCTGTGTCTTACACTTCTGAAACCATATATGGTTTTGTGTAAAATTGTCTTAAAAAGTGATCTGAAGGCTGAATTAGAGGAATTAGTTCAGATGCCTGGATTTTTTTGTGTGCGTACTGACTACACAGGGCAGTCCTGAATAGCACAATTTGGGAAACGCCTTCACCCCCAAAAAGAACTTTTTTTCCCTACTGGTGTTGATAGATTCTGATCTTTAATGGTAACTGCACTGCCTAAAAGAGCCTCTTCTTGGTCCAGTGTCCCAGTGTAGAGTGTCTAATATAGAGACTAAAAAGACAGTCCTTGCCACAAGGAGATTGCAGTTTGGGATTATAGCTATGGAATAAGGCACTGTCATAATTGTACAGCTATTTCCAAATGAGGAGCTTTAGAGTTGTTTTCAGTTCTGGTTTGAAACAGGTGATTTCTCTAGTACAGTTGCAGTCTTGAAAATTCAAGCTGAACCTCCTTACCTTTGACAAACAATGCAACAAATGCACTTAACATGCAAGAAGTTTATTTCCTGTAAGTGCCTTGTCCAAGTCTGGGATTTCATGAATGCTGCAAGCTGGCACCACAGCCAGCAGCAGCATTGTCTTCCCCTATTCTTTTCTTACTTTCTTTTTGGAGGAACTTCCTCCTTTCTACTGGCATAGCTGGTTTTGCACCTGACTGATCAGCCTGGCTGGGGATCTGATCCGGCTGAAAACTAAACCGTTTTGTTAAGTAAGTTTTCTGCTGGATTGGTTTCCTCATACATTTGTTTCAGTACAGCTTTCCCCACTTTCAGTGGAACTTGGTCTCTGTGGTTTGCTTGAGATTTTAAAATGGTGCTTCAATGTCATTTTAGGGAAGTGTTATTCTGCCACTTGAGTATAGATGTAAGGTAAGTACCAGGATGATGCTTTTTACCTGGCAGAAAGGTGAACACTTGAAGTTGGTGGACTTTTGATGTTCACACTATGTCTGGAGTATAAATTTGTTCCCTTTCTTCTCTTTCTAGGCAATGGCTGTACTCTTTTCAAATTTTGTCATTATAACAACAGCTCTTCTCTTCAGGATAGTGCTAAAGTAAGTAGTATTTATGAAAGTGAAAGAAATTTTATATCTTCCCAGCCTTCATGAAGAAGTTAAGCTACATTCTTTCTTTTCATCTAATGGGGAACAGTTATTCAATTGCTTGTGACTATACCAACTTGGAGAGTTGGCTTTGTTTTCTACAAAGGTGTTTTCTGAAGGCATAGGAAATGGTAGCTTATTAGGAGTTCCTACATATCTCTGCACATTTGGTCAACTGTAATAAGAGACAGCTGAACCATTGATTAGGTAGTTGTTGGATGGTCAGAATTAAGGTTTGGGTACTTCCATTTATATGTTAGCTTAGTATGTTTAAGAAGTATTTATGTATTCTTTCTTCATTGTTCATCCGACAAAAGCTAGACTCTGTCCTATGTGTGCCACTTCACCTGATTTGGGTACTTTATGGTGTGATTTAGGTTCAGAAAAGACAGGGAAATGGATAATAACACTCAAAAACTCATTTGTGTTGGATGTGGAAGAAAGATGCCTTTTCTACAAGCGTTAATATACCAAAACAGTGTCTGACAGTCTGACTTGAAATGCTTTTTCTCAGTTGTTTACTTTGATATTTCTTGTGATATCACAGTTTACTTAATTTTCAAAATTCCCTATTTTCCCCAAGATAAACTGTCATTGCTTGAGTGAAAAATAATATAAATAGTCCTACAGTGTTATAAATTATATTCATAGATTTATATCATGTATCATCATAAAATAATAGAAAAGGGCACATAATCATGTGGGAAAAGTGAAATGTAGTAAAAGTTTACCAGAGAAAGCGGATAATTATTTGAATTTTTGTGATTACTTTTTTTTCTATCAGATCTGTTTTCCCACAGAGACAACAGTTGCTTTTAAGTTGTCAGGCAGTCAGTATCTAGAACTAACACGATCTTGAAATACTTTCCTTAAATTATCTCTACAGAACAGTCCATTTGTATTTCTGTGATTGCCAGGCTGGGCCCCCCTTGCTGTAATAAAGCGTGCTGCCTTTTGGCATTTAACTGTGAAGTCTGGAAAGCCAAGATTTATCTTTGCTCATGTCTCTGTCTCCTTATCTGTGGCATGATGTCTTTTATGTGTTTTATAGAGTTTGTTCTCCTGACAATTTATGCCAGTGTGTTTCTAAAGTTGGTGGCTTTTTTTGTCTACTCCTAGGCGAAAAATCTCTTGGGTACAATGGGCATCTCTGGTGATTTTATTCCTGTCCATCGTTGCCCTGACTCTAGGAACTGGAGGCCATCAGCAAAGCTTGGCCGCACATGGATTCCATCATAGTATGTTTTTTAGTCCATCTAACCACTGCCTCCTCTATGCTCGACCTGAGGAAGCATGCCTGGAAAAGAGCAACTGCGTAACACCAAGTTTCCTTCCCAGCTTCCATTGGAATGTCACCAGTACCATGGCAGGAGCATTGAAACCTCTTCGCCTCAGTTTGGGTCATCTGCTTATTCTGGTGCAGTGTTTCATTTCTGCCCTGGCTAACATCTACAATGAAAAGATCTTGAAAGATGGGGATCAGCTTGCTGAAAGCATCTTCACGCAGAACAGCAAACTCTATGCCTTTGGGGTGCTGTTCAATGGGCTTATGCTGGGACTGCAGAATAAGGACAGGAAGCAGATAGGGAATTGTGGCTTCTTTTATGGGCACAACATCTTCTCAGTGGCTCTCATATTTGTCACAGCTTTCCTGGGACTGTCTGTAGCCTTCATCTTGAAGTTCCGAGACAACATGTTCCATGTTATGACTGCTCAGATCACCACTGTCATCATTACCACCGTCTCTTTTATCATCTTTGACTTCAGGCCTTCTCTGGAGTTCTTTTTGGAAGCTCCTGTAGTACTTCTCTCCATATTCATCTATAATGCCAGTAAACCAAGAGGCCTGGAATATGCTACTCTGCGGGAAAGGGGCAAACATATCAAAGGAGATGCATGGGAGAGGTCAAGCGGGGTAAGGCTTTTCAGTTCTTGTCTTCCCTGGCTCCTCTTTTGTTTCACCTCAATTTATGCTATGGTATGTTTGGAAGATTCATTTTTCATGTTACTGGACTCATCCCTCAAGTCAAACACCAAAACTCCTCAGTATTTCTTAAAATCTTTTAAATTGACTGGGTCTTGCTTTGCGTATTCATCTTTTTCAGTGCGTGAACCCTAGGTAAGCATAGCTTTCCTACTTTGTCTTGTGAGCAACTTTAGCTTTGTACAAATACTCTCTTGAAACCTTTAGAAACAAATATTTCACTGGCCTTGGGCATTCAGAAATTGAAATTGATGCCTGGGAAATAATTGTACATAAGTAGAACTGATAAGTCTTGGCAACTGAGCACAAATAATGAAGAAGTTAATATATTTGATGTTAAGATTCTTTCTACCTGAACAATCAATGGTATTTGAAGACAAAAAGGTAATCTATAAATACAGAGTTTTAACACTTGTTTCATAAGGGGGAAAAAAAAAAATTTCCTCCAGGCCCATTAGTGGCTTTTGTCCGAATTTGAATAGTCGTGTAGTTAACTAGAACATGGCAGGAAGGGCATGCTCGTAGGTAGGTCATTCAGCTAAGCTGAGCGGTCAGTCTAAAGGGGAAGGGTTAATGTTTCTGTACTCGAGTTTGCTTGCACAGATGTGTTCTGTAATGCACGTTGAAACCAGCAGGGGGTGCTGTCTCCATTTAACTCTAAGAAATATTCAATTTGGAAGAGGTGTTTTCCAGATATTCCACAAAGTCCCTTCTTAGGTTGTTGTATAACAAGTAATAAATAACACTGTCATATATTTCTGGTATACCAGAAGTTATCTATTTTAGCACTTAAAACTGAGCAGCTGTGGTGAAAACAAGCAGTACTGTGTGCGCAAGCTTCCTGTTAAAGGAATGGGCTACAAGCTGCTTTAAAGATACAGGGATATTTTTCCAGAGCAAGATTATAACACACTGGTAAGAGATTTAAATTACAGGGTTTTGATGTTATATAAGTGATGTCTTCAAAATAAACTTTGGTTTTGTGTGGGTTTTTTTGTTTGGTTTGGATTTTTTTTGTGTTTGGTTGGTTGGGTTGGTTTTGTTTGTTTGTTTGTTTTTGTTGATGTTAATAGTAAGATAAGTTTTGCTTACATTTTTTTCCTTTGCTTCTGGTTCCTGTAGGATGGAGAAGAATTTGAGAGGTTGAACAAACCAAGCAGTGACATCGATACAGATGAAGATTCCCTCTAGCATTAGGCTGGCTCAGAGGAGTTCTATTACTCATAGTGAAAGAATTTTAACATTTCATTAACACAGAGAAGGGTCATTTTTCCCCACTTGCAATTGAAACTGTTTTGCAGCTGGGTATCAGAGATGAATGAGGAAAACATTCAAGCCGTATATATGGAGCATTGTATTGTCTCTTCCTATGCATGTAAATTAGAGCTTCAAAATCTGCTGAAAGAAACAAAATCTATAACTGATGCAAACAAGAAGAGACCTACACCCTGGACTCGGTGGTCTGGGTGACATGCTATATTATGGAAGGCAGTCCTGGACTCTTAACTGTATATCTTTCACAACTTTGGTTAACTGTCCTGAGTCACTGCAACTTCCTGTATGAATTCCTTGGTTAGCAAAACAGAGATAAAACTGTTCTCCGCCTTGCAGCAGTGATACAAGCATTGATTAATGTTTCTGCTGTATCTTCCAGTATACAAATTCTCCAGTAAGTTTTCTTTTCAGGACTGAAGATGTTACTAGTAACCTCATAAATACTGAGGCATATTGGCTGATTTATTGTATTTTTGCAATTCAGATTGATATATCCCTAGCTGAGTAAAAGAGCCCCTCTGAACCAATCTCATCAAACTTTCACTTCAGGATGTATAATATTTTATTCAATATAAAATTGAATAATTTGGGTTAAGGGTGTGTTGATCTGTCAAAAATGCAGATCTCTAGAGTGTGATTTGAGTTTGAATGGTCTTAATTCTGTCTTTATTCCTGTCTTTATATCAGTGTAACTGTACTGACTCCTGTGGAGTCCTTTCTTTCTGATTTTCTCTGATGTGACTGAGAGCAGAATAGATTTCACTGACTTCAGCCACTGGTTCTCACATTTCAGCGTGAGATCCTTGTGTGCCTGTCTCCCAGTGTCTGGGGAAATGGAAATCTGCAATGCCTTTATAGAAGTTTTACATGCAGCTTATGTGGCCTAACTTTGAAAGAGCTTGAATAAAGCAAAAATGTGTTATACAGTATAAAAGCATCATGGGGTCTCTTTTTTCTGTTTAGAAAGGCTATGTGTAGAGGCATTAGTTTGCACAGAGCTGACTATCTGAAAACTTAATATTATGCAGCTACAGTGATGCTTTTCAACATCTGGAGCACTGAGCAAGAGAGTGCATGTGATAGTATCATTTAGTGTTGCACTACCCTGTCAGACTGCATTATTTTGCAGAGAGAGAAGTCATTCTGCAGAGTGCCAGGCATAGTGGTCTCAGAATCACTGTTGAGGTGTGTCTGCTGGATTGCATTTTGAGTGAGATGAAAAAGAGGTTCCAAATAATTCAGAGAACTTTAAAAGAGCAAAGCGAACTGGGATGCAGATAAGAGATTCTTGGTATGTTCCTAAAGACTCTTTTCTCAGAACAGTGAAAAAGCTGCTGGTTTATAATTTTCTCCCTTCAAAAATGCATATTTCATAGTTGAAAGATACTGTGAAAAGAATTCTTCAAAAGATAAGCAATGAGTTCAGTGTCAAAGCCTCATACCACAGTGTATAGTAATCATTTAGTGATGCATTTCTCTGTGGACTGGAGACAGTCCTGCCTTTGTTCCCCTCTGCCATCCTATTTCCAGGCTCCGTGTATAACATCTTACTTATGTATATTGTATTGATGACTCATAGCTATATTAATTAACATACCTCCTCTTATTGATCCATCAGGAGGTGTAGCCTGTTTCTATATGTGGGAAATGACTGTCAAGTTATAAAATCTAAAGTTGTTATTCTCATTTCTACTTTTTTTTTTTTTCTGGGAGTATTGACTTTTTCTATTATATATTAAGAATAACTGTACAAAGTGAAATTGTTGTTGTAGTTGAAAATTTTTTTACAGCTGATCTCGTCGTGCTTTTGCAGTGGGCGATTTCAACAAAAGGAATCCTAGTTGTTTACGTCTGTACAGAATGAACAAGAAAGCATATTTCTATGTAAATTCCAGAAACATGGTTTTCGTTTGTTTATGAAATCTCCAACACACACAAAAAATAAATAAAAAAAATACTCAAACTGTTAAGGACTTAGTTGCAGTAAGACATTTTCTTTTTTTTTTTTTTTCCCATTACATACAGCTTCGCAATATGCACCTCCCTAAGTTCATTGTCTTTTTTGATCATAGCTACCAACTTAAGAAGGTATTTCCAAGAAGAGTGGAAGTACTGTTAGCTTTATATTGCTTTGGATTTACATGAACAGTATCTTTCTATCTGAACTTTTCCAGAGAGCTTTGTGTTAAGTCAAAACATAGAAATCAGCCTCATACCTCTAGTGGCAGAGCATCAGAACAGAGATGAATGTCTTAAAAATTGTATGTTTGACCTTTCTGCCTGAAATATCTGCATTAAGAGAAATGAGATATGGAAATGACTGATCTGCAGATTTTATAAAGTGCACTTAGTTCTCTCCACTCTTGTCCTGCTTAATGATTTTCCCCTCTACAAGTTTCACCAATGCTGTCTTGCTTATTTGCTGAAGTCTTAGATTGCACAAAGATTGCACTGTTGATCCAAGCATTTAGTTTGCACTGTAGAGTTGGTCCTGTCTAACATGTAGAAATCTTTCTGTTGTCTTCAGGTTGGAGATCTCAGAGGAATTCTATTGGATTGGCCAGGCAGGTTTCTTTTAATAATGGAGGAGAATTGTATATCCCCTTTGAAGCAACAGGAATGTTAAGTGCTGTCTAAACATGGGTGATGATTTGCATCAACTTAGCAATAATAAAAGTGTGTAAAGTAACCCAAAAGTAGTATAACTGCAGTTCTGTGCAGCTGTGCTATACATGGCAATAGTTGAATTTTGTGTGTACAGATTTGTTAGGAGGTGGCTGTAAACAATTGTCAGTTGGGCATCAGCCCTAGTTAGCAAGGGGGGCTATTCTATAGTTACATGTTTCAAATAGATCATGTGAATCCCACTTAAGTATTTCTACTGTATGATTGTTGACCTACTCCATGTTGGTAAGCTTACTATTTTCTCCTCAGCTAACAACAGGGAAGTTTACAAGGAGACTTTTGGAGAGCAGCATTTGTTTGGCACACAGTCTTTAGTGAATACATTGGGCAGAGAGCTCTTTCTAAGCTGTGATTTAGAGCCCCAGATTCACAGACGTTTGAACTTAATTGCTGCTGAGGATGTTATGTTCATCCCCCCAGGTTTGAGGAAGTAGTTCACAAAACCTCTCAGGAAGAGAGATGTGTTCATGTTTCTCTTGTTTAGAACAAGCTAATTAAAGCAATATTTATTTTGGTTAATTTCAGCTACTCTGTAACTGTATTATGACTGAGCCATGGTGCTTGAAAGCCTGTGGATGAAGACAGCCATCTTGGAGCTGAATGAAATCTCATAAATATGCATAAGAAAAAGGTTTTTTTCTTTATAATTTTCTTTATAATTTGTAATTGTATAAGAAAAAAATATGATTTTATATCTTTTTTTTCTGTATAATTAAATGTGATTTCTACAGCCTTCACTAAAGGCTGTAGAAATAGGACATTAATCTCAGTGGGTCTGTCAGGGACAGAGCCAGTGCTTTGGATTTGATTTGTGTTTTGCGAAATGAAGTCTGAATTTGGAATATTGTAGCTCCTGAATGCCCTTAGTCTTTTAGAAAACTATATGTTGCTGCTGAAAGGATTTTTTGGCTTGGTGTTCCTTTAGGTTTTGGGTTTTTTTTTGTTTTCCATAAGGAAAAGTAGGTTGCAAAGTCAGGATCATAGCTGAATCAAAATCAGAATCATAAAATTTTTGATAATTTTGAGCCAGTTTATAATGAAGGCATGAATCAGCACCGGAATATAGAACAGTATTTTCCAGATTCTGTGAGTATTTGAATGCATGTTCTGCTTTAAGAGCCCATCCCAACCTCCCTTACAAGTGGACAACTTGTTTGGAGTTGTCTTTTTAATGCAGCTCCCACTGAATGCCTAGACTGGGTTTGGTACTTGCCTAACTTAAGTTTGATTTCTGGAGGGTTGGGGGATAAAAGGCAATTTGGATCAGGTGTTGAATCCTTTTGTAAGTTAACTGTCTCTTCCTCCTGTTCAGCACAGGACATTTAGTTTCCATGGTTTGTAGTGTGAGTTAAAAGGGCTTGCTTTCATTTAAAGACTTCTCACTATAAACAAGATTATAGAAAAGTTGAAATGAACACCTGAAAGAAGACACCCTAAAGGTGTTTCTCTTTTTGTCTACAGGAGTGGCTGTTAAACATCTGGTTTACTTTCCTCTGCTTTGCTTTAGGCAAAGAAAGTTAGGCAGTTGACCTTAATACACTGGTGAAATAAGCACTTGTTTTCTAAAACTGAGCTATGGTACCTCCCATTTTCTTCTGTAAATCTTTCAGTTCTGTAATTCTTTTTCTAGTTCCTCTTTGTTGTGGGGTTCTTTGTCTGGTGTTGGGGTTGGTTTTGTTTTTTTAAATTTCTCTGAAGAGCTGTAGTTAGTGGGAGCTTGGAAGCTCTCTGCAGGCAGCAGCCCTATCAAAATGGTTCTGTCAAATGCTTACCCACTTAGCTAGTCACCTGAGGAAAGTAAGGAGCTGTACCCTGTGTTGAGTAGACCTTGTGGTGCAGAGGGCAGCCTGCCCCATATAATGACCAGGTTTGTAAAGCTAAGGAACAACTGGTCAGGCCCTGTGATCTCCTCACATCTGTCTGCTTTTCTGACATTCTGTGACCAAGTTTCTAGAGAAATAGCTGGGTTTGAGTGAGCTTGTTTCTTTTCTCAGTTCTGGTTTTGTCTGGGGGGGTAGGGGATGAAATCAGGAAAACGCTAAAACTCAAAACTGTGGGGCATGGTCTGACCAGCTTAGAGCAGTAGCTTCTCCCTATTCCTGTGCTACTGCTGTGGTGACAAAGCCTAGTAAGAATGCCCTGCCGCATGTATCTATATGCAGCATGTGCACTCATGTCAGAGATTATAGAAAGAAATATGTCTGGTCAGGCATGCCTTCAGCATCAGAAATGACCACTGTGCTACTATGAAGGTTGAATCTTTATGCGGATCTTAAATGTTTAGAAATCTAATCCAAATGGTGTTGAAAGCATGGCTATGCATGCTGTTCCCACCACTGATTTCAGTAGGAGTAGGGTGGTGCAACAGATCAGATGCCCAAAGGGCACTTCTCCAATGAGAAGGGAGAAGAAAACTGTTTCAGCAAGTGTGGCAGGAATAGTGCTGATTTAGTAGCAGATTAAATTATTCCCAAATAGCTTTATAAATGTTTAGTCTATATGTTAGTCTATATTTTTTCCATCTGGAGGGTATGAGATGAAGAGGTAGAAGGAAATTTGAAATTTAGAGAAATAGTTTAATTAAGAACATTATTATAGAGATCTTGTTACAACTCATTTAAAATATACATGAATAAGAATTTGTTTCCTATTTTTCTGATGAAAATACTGCTTTTCAGTTTTCTGTATTTCAGACAATGCTAGCTATAGTTGGTGTTTTCACTTAGCTCTCATTACCTTCGATTTAACTGTCAAGTGGGCAGGACCTAAGAGAACATGGATCCCAATTAAAAGAATAAATGGCCATAAAGCAAGCTTTGTAGTTAAGAACTTTACATTGAATTATATTAGAACAAATCCTGCCATAGCTGTAAATTCACATTTTCATTGATAATGTCAGCTAATTACAATACTAATGCACCACAGAAGGGATGCTGTCTTTTTAGATAAGGTACTTCAAAAGGATTTTATTATTATTATTGCTATTATTAAAGAGCCTGCCAAATGCTTCCTTCTTATATTTTCCTTTTCTGGGAAAGTCCTGAAGTGTGATTCTTTGCTTCTCTTCATGAGCACAATGCAATCTCACTTCCCAATAAATACACTTTTTTTTTTTTTTTTTCTCCTTAGAAAAAATACTAACAAAAGCATTGCAAAATCTGTTGGACAGTTCGTGTTCTGCCCTACAGTAGTGTCCATGGACTGGAGTTGTGGTGGGTTTTTGTTTGGTTTTAATACAGACAGCACCTGCTGATGCCCTTTGTTTAAAGGTTTAATTTACTGTTTAAAGCTTCAATACTACTGGTTTGAATTGCTTCACTGTAATGGCTTCTGCATTTTTGAGAAAACAAGTCCCTTGATTGAACAGTAGAAGAACGAGGCAGGGATATCTAGGCAGCCTGGGAAGACTTTTCTGTAAGTGGCCACCAATTGCTTGAATAACTATTAGAAAACAGACATGGGCAGTCAGGGACTAAGTTGCACTTTTCAGTATGGATATCCATGGTGGTAACTGCCGTGGTGACGGTAATCATCTTGGTAACCTTCCTGGTATCCCTGGTGATAGCTATGGTAACCATACCCACCATACTCATCATCTGGGCACTGCATGCCAAGCGATTGCTGAATTGTCATTTCCTGTCGACGAAGCTGCATGGAATCAATCAGATCATACACAATTGCCATAGACCACATTGGAGAAGGATACCAGGATTTGACGTTTCCATCTTTCCCAACTAGAAGCATGGAGAAATACTCTGGGCTAATTTGGAAATAATTTCTAATGTCTTTCACCAAATTAGCTGGGATATCTTCTCGGTCTACAGTAGAGCTTCCTAGAAAGTAATCACAAAACCAGCATTGATATTTTGTTTAGGCAGTGATGATGTTTGTTAGCAACATGAGATAGGATGAAGGCCAATAGTTGGCAATGTAATATTTTTGTCATTTACAAGTTCAGGATTTCCTGCTTCCAAAATGAAACAGCTTCAGTGTAAACTAAAGATGTATTTTAAACGCTTTATTAGGTTTAGTAAACTTGTCTTTATTCTGTAGGCTGAAGCTGCTGAAGTGTAGCACACCTTTTTGTCACCCATCATACATGCACCTCCTTGGCTTCTATGGAGTTTGTGTCCCTGGTTCTCATAATGCATAAGGCATATATGAAAAACAGTCTCAGTGAAAGAAATCATGAGAAATAGTGATAGTGTGAAGAATTACAGGATGAATTTGCTGGGTCATTTAATGGCAACAAACACAGAGCTGTCTTGGCAGTAGGACTTTTACAAAGTGGCACATGTCTTACAAACTTGTTGAAGCTCTCTGAAGGAGGCCAGCAAGCTAGAAAGATTAGCACGCTTTCATGTTACAGAGCAGTCAGAATGGGGATGGGATAAATCAGCTGACTTTGTTCTTTCACTGATGGAGACAGTTGTTGGGCTTAAGTGGTAGCATTTGAAATGTACCCTGACAGTGAGATCTCCTAAGAATAGGTACCTGAAGTAGCCTGCAGAGAGCAAATGGAATACTTAGAGGGGGCTTGTAAAAAAAAAAATGGAGAAAGACTTTATCAGGGCCAATAGAGACAGGACAAGGGGTAATGGTTTTAAACTGAAAGAGGGTAGATTCAGATATAAGGAAGAGGTTTTCCAGGTTGGAGGTGGTGCAACATGTGAACAGGTTGCCCAGAGAAGCAGTGTATGCCCCATCCCTGGAAGTGTTCCAAGGCCAGGTTGGACATGGCTTAGAGCAACCTCTTCTAGTGAAAGATGTCACTATCTATGACAGTAGAGTTGAACTATATCATCTTTAAAAGGTCCTTTACAGTCTAAACCATTCTATGAAGATGACTGAGGGACCCATATAAGAGGATCTGCTGAGTTGGTGTTCTATTAGCCCTGCAAACTCTTGCACATGTAAGAGGCACAGACATCTCTTCATCTTTGACAGCAAGGCAGGCAGAGAAGTGTACTTGGGATTGTATATTTAGGTGGAAGATAAAGACGTGAGATGTCTTCGAAATGATATTTGGGCTTTTGTGTCCTGAATAAGTTATATAATGTTTAGCACGGGAACACCAAGAAAGCTTTTTGTTTGCTTTTGTATTGTCTTTTTTCTTGAAAGAAACAAAAGAGAAAAAAATATTCATACCAATCCCTCTAAAGAAATTACAGCAAAGAAACTCTATGTAATGTCCTTCGTGGGGAGTACTGAGGAAACTGGAAACAGTTACTTACCATTAATTGGATACAACTCTAAGACACCGCCAATATCTTCTCCAAGTCCTAGCAATTTGAGTATAGTTATATGGCGCAGACCTGTGGAGGAAGTGAAGGAGATTTGGGGTCAGACCAGGTTTTTCTGCTCTGTGGCAGATTTCAGTTTAATCAGCCAGGTCTCTGTATGCTAAGTTAGGACCCAGTCTCAGCCAGCCCTCTAGGAGGAAGAGTTAGTGATTTATGTGAAATCTTTGCCAGTCACATCACCTGTCCCAAACATGAGGATAAGCTAGTGTGTCAAGTAAATATGGTTATCAGTTGCATGAAAGCTGTTGCTAGTGTCCCTAGGACGACAGCATTTGTAGTGGTTCTAGAACAGAGATGGGGTAGGGATGCAAGCAGCAGGCACACTGTTATATTTGTAGAGGCCATTCCCCAAATTCAGAATGTTTCTGCACTGTTTTGTTCAAAGCTCTTACTTGTCGTCTACACAGCAACAAGGTATTTAGGGGCAATGTAACCTATCACAGCTAAACTCTACGTGACTGCGGGGAATGGCTTATGACAGGCATTCACTTCTTCCATTTGTTTGGGGCAGAGGCTTGGACTGCTTTGAAGAAAGGCCTTAGGGGGCTGTAGAAACTGTTTGTGTAACGTGAGTCTGTATCTACAAAATCTTTGATGTAACTGTTTTTACAACTTGGAGGATAGATGCTTAGTTATAACACCCATTGAGGACAAACGCTTCAGGAACTTGCTGGTTCTCCTTCAAGCTGTCCCTAACAAAAGGTGAGGAGAATTAACTGTTTTAATTACATTCCGTTCTTCAGGAAGCATTTTGCGGTGGTCTATGTCACCGTTTGCTTCAGTAGTTACCAAGTGAGACGATGCTGATTCTCTGAATGAAAGCTGGGTGGTTATGAATAAGCAGTGATACTGTGCAGATCTCCAGGCATAACTGAAATGTATTGAAACAGCTGCTGTTTCATTCTGTTGTAGGAGTCAAATCCATGCCCTCTATGGGATTTGCGTTGCCAGGAGCCTAAGTTAAGGAGTAGGTCTCTGGGCTTTCTAATGGAAAGGCAGAAGAGTATTTCTGGGTCTTGCTTTTAATTGCCTCCTGGAAGACTCCATCTCTCTCCACTGACTATGTAGTTGGCTCTTAAGTACTTAGGGGGCTGGGAGTGTCCTTGTTGGATAATATTTTTACAGGTTTTGGCAATGAGGCAGGAAGGAGGAAAAAAAAACCCGAACAAAACCTAATGGCCGTCATCTCCCTGAAACCTGACCTGGTTCTGAGCTGGGTATAGAGAATCTGACCTTCCCAAAGCATTGTACTTACGTGTTAATTTGTGCATTAAGGAAAAGAAAACGTCATTGAGCTCCTGAAGCGCAAGCCTGGAGGGAAGCTTTGGAGTGCTAACCTTTTCTGCCTCGCACAAATGATTCCCGGGAACAATTTAGCTGTCTTAGCTGTCTCAGGGGGTTTGCTGTACTACCTGCTTAGCACAGTGTTTTCCATTTGGATGTGGAATACCTACAGCAAGCTATTCAGTTGTCAGACTCCTCAGACTGTCTAGATTCAGACTTGAGCAAAGGAACCTATTGCATCACCAGGAAGGATGTGGGTTTGGGGAACAAGAGTGTAATTTCTTTTGACTCACCAAAATTGCAGGCTTGTCCACTGAGAGCAGCAAGCTGCTGGGAATAAGCCCAATCCTCATCACTGGGAGCAGAGATCACCACCAGCCTCCTTCTCCATCGGAACCTGGAAGGAGGAGAGAGTGTGACAGTGTACAGTGATAATACGTGACCTGAGTCCTGTCAACATTTTTGTTCTCTGTAGGCTGAAGTATGTCATTCCTGTCACAACTTCTGAGTAACAGCTGTATGGGAGATCTTCCCAGTTCTGTCCATCACTGGGAGAGGATAAAGCCTATTTTGGATTTTACAACTCTCAAACATCTGCTGCTTCACCAAAGAAACACTGCAAAGCTTATGATCTTTGCTCAAAGACCTCTTCAGTAGTTACAATAATGTTGAGAAGTGTATATTCAATGGAAAGAAACATTCCTGTAGAATTCCTCACTAAACATTGACCTTTTACGTCATTCACCCCTGCTGGAACTGCACAGTTACTTTGCAGTCCAAGGCCTGTCTGAGAATTAGGGTGTATCTTCATTTCAGACATAACATACTTCTGTGTAAATACTCACTGACCTCTTTTTCTTCTACACCACACTCGCTGAAAATACCTCTAACATGGTTTTGAATCTGAGCTTGTTTGTAAGAGTGTGGTTGTGTGAGCCTGTGGCCTTATGAGGTATGCATTTAGCAATAAGAAAAATCTTGGCTATTTCTTTAATATGGAACACCCCATCTAACCAAACTTTTGCCCAAGGAGTGCTTTCCCTTGTCCTCTCAAGGAAAGTCACTGACATAAGGACATTTGAAACCTTGCAAAATTCTAACTACAGGGGTTTTTAATTCTCTCCAAGCAACTCCTTTTTTGAATAAAAGTACTTCTCCACTAAACCTGAATAAATCAGTTTTATAGGAATTTGCAAAGCTGCAGGGATATTTTTGTATCAGGAAATGATTTTTTAAATGGATGCAGATGTTACTTTGTTACAATAATAACCTGCCTTTCTGCAGAACCAATTGAAGATCTCAAAATAAAGGCTAATGCAAAGGGTCAATTCTACTCTATTTGGGAGAAGAAGAAAATATGGTGAACTTGCCCAATATCACAGAAGCTGCCGAAAGAATGGGGGATGCTGATGTTTTTGTCTTGTTGACTGACTGATACTGCATGTATTTTTATAATTAAAAAAGTAAATCCTTGAAAAGCAAAGCTCCCACATTTTAATCTTGCCCCAGAGGAAAAGCAAAGAGACATAGGTGTATGTATACAGTTATGTGAATAGGAGTGAGAAGCATTAAGAATCATATGCATGACATGAGGAAATGGGGGAAATTTCATATTGTTATTCTGAAAATAAGGAAAAAATTATCTTGTGATATATTGTATAGCAAAAGCACCTGGCTACTGGTCTAGTGGAAGATTTCCCTGCCCATGGCAGGGGGGTTGGATCTTTAAGGTCCTATCCAACCCAAACCATTCTGTGATTCTATGAAATAATAACTGAGAATGTAAACAGCGGATCATATCTTTTCCAGGGCATAAATCAGGATGGAATCATATCTGTGAGCTGTTTTAAGATGCTCTTAATCACTTTATGGATTTTTGAGTATCTCCTTCAGAGATGCAGAGAGCTGAGAAGGGTTGAAAGCCACTCAAGCTGTTCACCCTCCTGCACCAGGCAATCCCTGTAATTGGTGTGCTTGTCAGGGGCTACATCTTACTGAAAAATTATTCAGTTGGTCTTTCACAGCTGTTATTTCAGCAACACTAATGTACACATTTGTGCCTTATTTCTGATATCACAAGCCGCAGGCCAACAATTCTGTCCTGACAGATCTGCCAGACCCTTCTCTGTGTGCATTCTTTCTTTCTCTTTTACCTATTTTGCATCCCATTCTTGTTTGTGAGCCCAGAGAGTAGTGCAGCCAGTGTCTTGGTGTTATGAGGGCACTCCCCCTCTCAAACTCAAGGATCTTCTTCCGATACATGTAGCTTTTAAACAGTACTCAAGCCACCTCTGGCTCTCATGGTCTCCTTTCACTCCAGCCAGACTTGTTAAGAACAATATTTGCATTATTGTAACTGACCTCCGCAATGTGCAGCACTGGAGATGATGCCAAGACTCTTTTTCAGCTGGGAACATAATCTTGGACAAAGTTGGAATGAATCTTGCTGGGAATCTGACCAGTTAACATGGCTAGTGAAGCCCACCCAGTATTTAAAGCCTGATGCTCCTTGCTCAGATGACAAATGCATTCTGTGCAGCTGCAGATGTGTTTAGAGATGCAACATTCTGCATTTTTCCTGCCTTTTTTTCTAATGTGTGCTTATTACTAGGGCTGATTCCAGGAAAAGAAGGATTTGGGGCCTGACACTTTCCAGCATACAAGCTTTTTCTTGTGTTGGTCAGCTGTTCCTAACCTGTGGTTCTTCTTGATGGTCTTGAGGATGAATTGCTGAGACCTAAACAGGAGGTGGTGAGGTGGGTTGGGTGGATCTCTTTAAAGGTTTATTCTGTTGAAATGGCCAGTGAATTTTAAAATGTTTATGAACAAGAGCCTATTCATTTTCCTGTTGCTTTTTTCCTCCCCAAGTTGTAATCCACGCTGCCTCAGTTATTTATCCCTATTTGACATTAACAGTGTATTCCCATGGATTCTGATAGTAGGTGAGGAGGATGCAGTAAGTAAAACCTAGAGTGATGAGTAGCCCTAATTTCACATAAATTATCTTGTGATAGAGGGATCTATAGCTGCACAGGCCTTCTGTGGATCTGAATTCCCACAGTCCAGATATGTTTATTGCCTGGAATTCAGGCCTTGCAGGTAGAGCAGTAACACAGCATATAGCAATTGCATAAGCAAAACTGTCTTTCTGCAGAAGGTCTCTCAAACATTTTGCAAGACTTGCGCAAGACCTTTGGTAATATGCATTACTAATACTGGCAAAGACCAACTGTTATCTCAAGTAGGATAAGAAGGAAGTTACAGAGAATTAATTACTGATTTGAGCTACATGGAAAGGATTAGAATGGGATTAATGAGATTGTGATGGTTGATGATTGAAACACATAAACACTGTGTTTCATGCATTTAAAACACTGAGCTAACATCTATGAATTAATCCTTGTTTCCTCTTCTAGTGCAAATCAATGTTATTATCTCCATGTCATTATGGGGGAACTGAAGTACAGAAAATCAGTGTCCAAAGAATGTGCAGTCAGGAAACACAGCATACATCGTGACTTCTAGTGCTTTATACAAGACTGCATTCAGGCTACGGCTACATCTCTACATTTGCTAAGCACTCTAAGTACTGAGAAATCTATATTAAAAAATCACAGAAATAGTTGAATGGGTATTTTTCCAATAAGACAATAATCATTAGAACTAGCAGCAGATAAGAACAGAAGGTAATACCTGGATAAGAAGCTCTCAAGGGATTGCTTCTTATCTTCTTTGCAGACAATGCCCTCTTTTTTCTGTCTTTCCATGTCTTTGATTCGTGACTGGAAGGTGTCGATCAAATCAAACACAGATTTCATTGCTATAGGTACTTCATAATATTGCTGTTATAAAAAAAAAAGAACAGATGGATGAAAGGATGCACATATTGGGAGTCTTTCTGCATGTATCACAGCATCGTGGTATATATAGAGATCCAAGTATTCCTGTTTACACACAGGTAACAAGGCCTAAAGCAGCTTAGAAGCCATGTAAAATAGCATTAGTTTTGCAGTCAGAGTACTCTTTGGAAATGACATATTTTCAGTATTTTCCCAATGTGATAAGGCCAGGCCATTGCAGGCAACAAATTGTCATTATGCTCTTTTGTAAACCCATTTAACAAGAGCATTTGTCCATATGCTATATGCTGTCATCCTGATGAGCAGTCAAACTGTGTTTTAGAATACCAGGTACTATAATAAAACCCCTGCCTGTGGGAGCTCTTGCTCCTATGATGTCAGATCAGACGCTAGCAGAAACCCACAATTCCTGGAATCCCCTAATTGCAGAAACCAAAGATAACTACCTAATTCCTCAAAAATTCTCTTACTGTCCTTTTTCTTGCCCTCCAGCAATAACCAAGTCCTGCATCAGTCACTTATGTGCCCCCACATGCAATCCTGTAGTGTATAATTTCCTACTTTTTTTTTCACTTTTTTTTCCTGTATTTCTAATGCCTTTTCTTCCAAAGAGTTAAAAACCTCACCTTGACCTTCATATCAGTGTCTGTCAGCACCATGAAGAAGTCATTGTAGGTCATCCCATACTCTTTCCTCAACTCACTGATGAGCTGCTGGTCCACAAGATCTTCATCCTCTATCACTTTCATGGGCTTTTCATTATCTTAATGTGAGACAAAGGAGAAATGAAAGTAATCATGGAATCACACAGCACTCTGCCTTTAATTTCACCTTGAAAGAAAGGGGAAAATTCATTTCCCAAAAGCCTTCTTCAAGCTGCACAGGCAAGATATTAAAAAAACAGCAATATGGTGCTACGGCTTTTAACTGTTCAGTTTTCAGTCCCAGTATTTCCTGAAACAGTCTGTCCTGGGGCATGTGCACGTCAGTATTCAACGTTTCTACTTGATTTTAGAAGATCTAGGTTGCCTGCTCTTTCCTGGAAAGATATTTTAGATTTCCTTGTTTGTTTGTTTTCAATATTCTTATGCATGTATATGCATGTACTAATCATTTCACCAGCTCCTGAAATGCAACCATTTCTGGAACAGAAAATAGGAACAATGCAGGACAGGGGCTGGAAAGCACCATATCCAAATGAAACAGCATGGAGAATTTGGGCAAATAAAATATAGCTAGAACAGCTTAGGTTGGCCAGGATACTAGAGCTAACCTGGCCAGTCTTAAAAATTTACATGGGAGGTTTAGTAACTGCAAGAAACAAGAAACTGTTTAATGTGTCTTGAATACTACAGTCCTAGCTCTTCAGCTTTCTCTGTATACCTTGCTGTGGCACTCCTTCTCCTACATCAGCCTGCTGGTGTTCATTGCCTATTCTAGCACCCTGACAGGAAAAAACTTACTTTTGAGAGTGACTTGTATGTACTTACTGCTCTACGCTAAGAAAACATTCAGAAATACCCGAGGAAAAAAAAACCTAAAAGATCTCTGGAGACAGAGACTTGAAGCCTGTATAAGACAAGCCTGTAGAGGTACTGAGGTACCTTGCTTCCCCTGGAACCAGGGTGCATCATGTCCAAGTCCTGAAAAATGTGTCATGGGAGAGAAGAAAGCCACAAGTGCTGGCCTGCCTTGCAAACTTGGAAATTATTTCTAGGGAGAAATAGAAAATAAGTTAATCTAATTGCCTCTTTTCAATTCACTACTTGTCCCTGACCTCCACTTCATAAAGAAGGAGCATAATGATCAGCATGAAGAACAGTGGGAGTCAAGACTGTCTGCTGCTACCCGCAAAGTCCTCACTCTCTTTGCTTTTTCTAGACAGGTCACTGAAAGAGTACAGAGACTTTTCTTTATACTTCTTTAGCAGCTAGACAGGCTAGGAAGATGAGCTACTCCTTAGAAATAATTCAGATAAGGCTAAAAAGAAGTTCATCAGTTTGTTGTAGCAGTACAGTGGCCTGATGGATTAGGTATTGACTTTGTAAAGTGTGTAGCCTGGGGCTGGTGTTTAGCTGACTAAAGCCCTGTTCCCATGAGCTGGGGAAAAGACCACATGGCTAACCTGGGGTGAAGTGAAGCCCTCTGCAGTGACACTCAGTTTTCGTGTCATTACAATATGAAACTGGGAAATGTTCTTTGCTTTCAGTATGAGCTAATCTTAGCTGAACAGTGTTAATGAGCTCTCTTTTATTTACTGCTTCTAAATGTGTTTGAAATTGTGGACTTTTCTATTGTTGTCATGTGTATTTTAGTCCAAAGATGCATCACTACAAGTAGACCTCATCATGAAGGGTGCTCAGGCTTCTCACAGCATAAATACTGTGAACAAATTGGTTTTTAGGAGCTTTTGATGCCTCTGGTGCTGAAGGAGATTGAGCCATGAAAAGGTCGTGTAAGCAGGAAGGGTAGAGGAGAAGGGTGTGTGTGTGTGTGTGTGTGTGTAAATAGAAAGATGTTTATATTAAACTTTTCTAAAAGCTCAGAATTTGGCTTTTTGTTGAAAAAAGGTAAGGTGAACTTCATGTAAGGTTTAACTTGTACTCTTCTAAGTCTCCTGCTTTTCTTCAAAAAGTTAATTTCTCCTGTGAGAATTCAGTTGTTATATACAGTTGTGTGGTTTGGGGAAAGTTTGGGTGTAGATTAAATTTGGAACAGGCTGAAAGAGTATGGTCTATGTCACTGAATGTCTGCTTATGAGCCAGATTGGAGCTAAATATAATCCTAAACAGTTCACTGACAGGCAGATGGATCTTGGTACACAAAAAGTGACCTTGAATAACCTTGGCTTGAAGTGGAAAATCCTGTGCCACTGCAGATTTGTCAGGAAGGTGCATGGTCTGGCAGGATTTGTGACTCGCTGTCATTCAGGGACACAAGACTCCTGATCCCCGCTAGGTGCTCTCCCTCTGAGTGTAGTAGAGGTGAGGCTGGAAGCCAGGCATAAATCTGGGATTTTCTGGCCTGTGGTATGCCAGACCTGAAATACCCTGGAGCTGGTATGGTCCTGAGCTTTCTGTTCCAGAGCACATCTCTTCCCAGGGACTGGTAAAACCAGGTGAACTTCCAGAGGAAAGATGGACTTATAAGCAAAAGTAGCAACTTTTATACTATTTCTATGCCTTCATCCCATGAAGTATTCATGGTAGTGTTAACCTTTTAGATGCAGACAGCAATGACATTGTTTACATGATTCAAGAGACACCTAAGTGTAAGTGGTTTGCTGGACTGGGACTGAAGTCTGCCCAAATCCTACTGTTATGAAAGAAAAGGTTCTCACTGGCTTAGATGGGTGCTTCCCTGGACCTGGACATTGATGCCAGTTGTTTCAAGGCTGCCTAAGAGAGGTAGATGCCCAGTATGGGAATTCTGTATGTAAAAAGGTGATACTAAATATGGCTGAATGAGCTGCTTTGCAAATTCTGCATAGTCTGATTTATAGTCCAAAACTTCTGGCTTCGATTACATGAACCTCTTTAAAATAGCCAGCAATAAGCAGTCACATTGATGGGTATCTAGGTTTATGGGTAAAGAGAGGCAGTAGGACTTTAAATGGTAAACTTTGTAACATCAGGTACGCTGGTGCACATGTGTAAGGTTGTCCCTACCTAAAGGCTATGGTTGAAATCATCTAAATTAATATCTATATACCAGTACAAAGGGGAAAATGCTCCTGGACCTCCCCTTGCTGTGGAGGAGGATGCTCACTTTGTGGACATAGCAAAATTACCTCTTAAGCCTAGGAAAGCTGATCCTGGGAAGGAAGGGAACTCACAGCAAGGGTACTAACTGGCATGCTTCTCTTTGAACTGGGTTTAGCCAGTGCATGCCCCCGAAAACTGAAGTTTTACCATGATCTCATGAGGAGTGCAAAAGCAAGAGACAATGTTATATGGCAGGGTGGGGAGATAGTGATATTGAACTTCAAACCAGAATTAATTTGGGCCAAGTTTTGAATATAATCTTAAACAGTTCCCTGCAGCATTTCCTGCCCCCAGTCTCCTCTCCTTCATGACAACAGTGAGTTTCTTTGAATTGTGCTAGCCAGTATCTAGCCATCCATGGCTGATGTCTTGTGAAAGCAAGGACGGGGGGGGCATCATAAAAGGGTAGCCATTTAGTTAGATAGTGACGATGGTATTCAACATATTGGTAGACCTGAGCCTAATTTCTTCTTTTTGTCCCATGCCCTCATCATGTTTTTCTGCCTTTTCACTGTTTTACTGGCTTTAACAATTCCCACAAAGAAAGCTAAAGGTGCTCAAGTTACATCACTGGAAGCCCGAACATGGAAAATACCAGAGACACTTATGTAAATACAAAAGGGAGGTAGCTAGCATGGAAGGAGAAGGAATAGGTGTGAAAGTACAACGGAACCCCAGCAAATAATGTTGCTTAGATCTTGACCCAAGCTGGGGAGATTTCTCCCTTTGCTGTCTGTATTGTGCCCACAAGATGGAAAGAAATTATTAAAAAACAAAAGAACCTAGCTGGAAGTGGTCAATTTTCATGCTGCTGTTGTTCATGGTGCCAAAAATTGTGATGACTGAGATCTTCCTTGTTGCCATCTTGCAGAAGCTCTCCAGATACTCATCTCGCTGCTGTACATACATGGTATTGTCCGCCTTGGGTGTAGTGATCAGCTGGTTGGTGGCAGAGACAAAAGAGCTTGTTTAGTGTAAGGAATGAAGCAGATGATTATTTTACTGAGGGAGAACTAGTCGCTATCTGCAAACCGGGCTTTACCATAGCTCTGTTGACAGCTTTGTAGCCTTATTTTATTTATTTGCGTGCGTCTGGAGTGTACATTTAGGCCTGACTGACCCAAAGGTCTTCAACCAGCCACAGGAAGGCTTTAGGAAGCATGGCCAGCTGGTGGCACTAACTCCTCCCATGCCTCTCTGCAGTACTGGCAGAAGAATGGCACTGAATTTTACGGAAACCCTTGTCCTCTCCTGTTACCCCTTGCCCTGCCAATCACGCCAGGTTTCCCTCACAGCCTTTTCAGTGGTTCCGTGAATCTAGGATCGCCCCTGCTCACTGACGGTGGGAGCACTGGGAACATGGCAGCTGCAGCAGTATCCAGCAGGAGGTGGAGAGGAATGCCTCTGCTCGAGCAATGTAATCATCCTAACTGGCAGCAGTGAACTACAATCAAGCAACTGCCAGTGATTCCCCAAACACAAAGGGAGTTGGAATCCAAATCCAAATTTTGTGATTTAAGGTCGTAAATAATCACCAGAATCCTTCAATTGCAAACCTATGCTTTATTCTGTAACTGGTTTAATCCTTTTGTAGCTGCCTTCTTTAAGTCTGTAGGGCCTGGAGGGTAGTTTTTATGATATAGTCCTTTAAAATCCAGTTCATCAATGTACTGAAATGTAAGAGGCATTTCTGGGCTTATAAGATCTCGCTCTCATTTATGCAAAGACCCCCTGGCATGACTACAGCATCGGGACGTGAAGGTGAATTAAAGTCAGACACAAAGAGGATTTGATTTCTGGGCTATAGCATGTAACATGTTGCTTTTAAATTGCATAGAAATGTTTCAAATGAAAAAAGGATCATGAGAAGGATTTGAGGACTCAGATCAAAACCAGACCACTGTTTTGTTTTGTCCTCCCTAGTTTTAGATGCCATAAGCAGGAACACACAGTCAAGTCTGAATCTGATCTACATCAAACCTTGTAGAACAAAGCAGGGAATATTTAAGAGGCAAAGCAAACTTCAAATCAAACCATGTGCCAGGACTGTTTCAATACAGGCAGTATATACACTGTCTCTATCTGTATTCGCATGCACATGTGTATATGTGAATGTGCATATATATGCACGTGGGTATAAATAGAGTCATATATGAACTGTTAGTCAGCATTTCATCACCACAGAGAAGTAAACCAAGAGCCCAAATTCATTAAGCCAAAACTTCTTAACACTAGCAAGACCACAGTGAAAGCCCCACTGTAGAGAGGTGGGGCTCCAGGACTCAAAACACAAACTTTTTTTTCAGTTTCTGTAGCTGGGTCCTGTATTTGTCATTAATTGAACTTGACCCAGAATAGCCTTCAAAATTCTGGATGTTTGGAATTCACACTGAAATCTGCACTCTGAAGTCCTTAATGACGTGTAGGACTTAAAAACCCACGTTCCTCTCAAAAGAATTTTGGGAGAGGACTGAAACAATGCCCTTGGGTGCCAGTCTGTTAAAGAAGTGTCTGAAAGACAAGCAAAGCAATGGGGAATAATTCAGGTGGAGCCACTTCTGCAGCAGTGTGGGCTTATTCTCTAGAGAGGGAGTTTGAAGACTCATGAATGACAAGAGTTCATCTAGCTAAAAGGAGTGACCTTATGTGAACTGAACATTTTGATAGGAAGGGATTAAAACAGGCATGTGTGTGTATTCAAAGAAGCTTGAGAAGTTGTTTTCCACATGTGCTGTGCGTGGTGAAGCAATAGTAGAGGTCACTGCTTTCACCAATAACTGACTAAAACTTACTCTTCAAGAAACTTAGAGCAAGAAGGCTGAGGATGGTATTAGATACTGGAAAAATGAAGTGCAGCATAGCATAATCATTTGTCTTCGGTGAGTTTTGGTCTGACAACCTGTGATTGTGCAATTCTTTTCTTGGAGATCCAGGTGAGAGGTAGCCTAATACCAGAAGGTTCAAATTTCAGACTGTCCTTTAAGTTGCCAGGACTGTGCTGCTGCAGTGAATTAGCAGCCTGACATCTGTGAACTCCTCTTTTGGCTCCTTTTTGAAATTTGTTTTTATTTGTCCTGATGCTACACATATTCTTGGAAACCACAATGTTGAGATATGTGACCACATTTCAAAGATCCCAAACTTCTGCGCAGTTTCTCTCTCTGAGCTTTTGATTTGGCTAAGTATTAGTCAACAAGTAACTTACAGGTATTATGTGCAAAATCTAATGAGATTACTCTTCTCCAACATGACTGCTAGCTCTGCACATCCCCTACAGCTGAAAGAGTGGGGATGGGGAGAAGAAAGTTGCCCTTTGCTCAGGACTGTGAATCACCATCAGAATGATTAATTAAATCCCAGTAGTTGAAATCTTAGCTATTTGTGTTGGAATATGGGCATGAAAAGTAAAAGCTACATTTGTGACACTAACTGTTGGACAATAATTATGAAACAGGCCAGCTGGCAGTGGAATTATTGCAAGAAACCAGCTCCCACAATAATATTTTTAAAGAACTGTTCTTCAAAGTGTACCTTTCAGGGTATGTGCCATCTGCCAGAAAAAACATTGGTACGTCAGTTAAAGCGGTTTCCAGTCCCAGGTGAAGTGGTGTTTTAGGTAAATTGTTGGAAAAACATATAACACTATTAAATCCTGGGACAAATAACTCCAGACCATGCAGAGTTTCTCAGACTTGAAAACGTACCATAGTGTTATAGTTAATAAAAACAGCAGGAGAAAAAAACAAACCAAAATGAAGTTTGCAAAGGACCTCTGAAGATGTCTAGGAGATTTGAATGCCAAGTTCCCATCAGGAAGAACGGCAGATAAAACAATCCTACCTCAGGGCATCTCATCATATGCTTTCGTGCATATCCTTGGTCAGACATGCTCTAGTACTGCCAAGCCATCTGGCTTGCTTCCAGTTTTAGGACACCAGCACCAATATAAAACAGGTATGCCAGCTGGCAGGACATGTGGACTGTCAAAATGTGGTAACATTGGTAAGTAACCCAAAGCAAAGAATGGATGTAATCCACACTGGGCCCTTGTTTTATCAATCATAACTATACAGATCTGAGATGTACATATCCACTGGAAACAAAACAATCTGATGGCTATGTGGTTGCTCGTGGAAGTGACTGGGAAGAGGTTTTATCCAAATTCCTGATTGACTGAAGTTCATACAGCATGTAGGATTTCCAACATGAGACTGCAAAACATTCCCTGTTGGAAATAATTGTTTGTCTAGAAATTTTACCTTCTAAACGAAAGCACAAATCCAGAAGAATACAAAACCACTATAAGTGTTCTGTTCCCCATATCCTTGCTAGGAGGGAGATATGATTTCATTTATGTAATAAGATTCAGATGAACTAGTTACTTACAATGAGCCGCCTTTTGCCTTCAAAATATTCCAGGAGGTCAGTCACTGATTTCCTGGGAGGCTGTAGGAAAGGCTTCTTGTTGGGCTTGGGGAAATCCTCATTCTCAGTCCTGCTCCCCTTCTTGTTCTTCTTGCTACGGTCTTTGTCCTGCTTGCTCTTTTTCTCAGCTTTGTCCTTCTTGGACTGCTTATCACTCTTCTGCAGCTTGTCAGGTCTGTCCTTCTTCCTCTTCTTCTCAGGTTTATCCATTCGCTCATGCTTCTTTGATTGTTTTCCTTTCTTTGGGGGAATATTTCCCACTGTAAACTCTTCTTCTAAATGGGAACTAGAAGGCTTGCTTGGGTCATATTTATCTTCATATTCATTGTTCAATATCTTTTCTTGGGCCTTCTTTTTTGGTGGTTTAGTCTTAGTTGGTTTGTGTTGCCCTGGTGTAACATTCAGGTCCCTGTGGTTATAGTCCTTTCTGTCAGTTCGATTATCTTTAAATCTACCCACGTTTGCCTTTGTGTAGTGCACTGAGGGAGCTGTTGGGACTTCAGTGGAGCTGTCATAGCGGGCAGCTTTGCTTGGTTTCCGTGTGGCTGCCGGGTGCTTCTCCAGGTGGCCACGCTGCCGGTCCCTGCGGTTTGCCTTCCACACAGGAGGGTAGAAATCCTCAGAGGCTGTGACTTGAGGTGTGGTGGTATCTAGCGCTACTGGAAGCCTGTGGTACTCTGTGGTGGAATGTGACTTTGTGGTCCAGGTCCTCTGTGTTGTGGGGAGGGGTGTAGTTGTTGTAGACCGGCTTGCTGTTGTCACTACGCGGGTGGTGGCACGGGTAGTTGTGGTGGTGGGAGGGAGAGTCGTGGTTCTTACTGTAGGCAGAGGAGTGGCCACTATGGTTGTCATTGGTTTCCTCACCATTTTGGTCCTTGTTGGCTGATTATTGCTCTTCCTTGGCTCCTCCTTCCTTGCTGACACCTGGACATGTCCACCACCAGGGGTAGGCTGGGTGCTGCCCCCACTGTTGCTTTCCTCAACCACTTGTCCCTCTACCCCTGCTGCTTTGCAAGTCTGGACGAAGCCTTTCTGCCTCATCTTCTCGATTTTTCTGATGGGGCTCTGATCAATGACTTCATACATGGCCTCTAACCTGACTGGATAAGGGTACCTTTCCTCCACCTGCAGAGTTTTCTTCAACAGCACCATGCCAAATTTCCCCTTCTCCAGTTTCAGAAAGCTCATGAGCTTAGGGATGAGGGCAGGATCTAGTGGCTGCTCCAGGATTTTTCCTTCATTGGTTATCCTTCTGACTTTTCCCCCTTCTTCCCCTTCTTCATGGAACAACACAATCTGCTGGATGTGCCTCTCGGCTAGTTCACAGTAAACATCGTTTTTCAGCAGGCTCATCATGAGCCGGTAGTAGCCCTCAGAGGCATGGGGAGCAGAAATGACCCACACCCGATTTTTCCCAGCAAAGCTGGCCAGGATGTTGGGGGAACTTGACCCTGAAGGGAAGCGTGCCACCCGTGACTGTGAGGCAGAGGATATCCCTTCATCCTTAATCATCCCAGACTTGGAGTATTTGGCTGTAGCTGTGAGTCTCTGTACCCATCTCGTTCTGGTCCCCATGGCCCTGACCTGGGAATGTGCTTCCCCTTGCAGGAGATTGGCAGGTGGGTTTGGAGGTCCTGAAGAATCCCTCTTGGTGACAGGGTGTCGGGGATTCGCACTTGAATCCCTCAGGGGTGCTCCAGACCTTTTCAGGAGGCTGCTTGGAGCCTTGTAAGCCAGGGGCACTTTCCTAACTCCGTGGCTCCCTCCCTCCGCTAGCCTCTCTGTCCTCTCGGAGCTGCACACTAGCCATGCTGCCCACAGCAGGGCTAAGCTGAGAGCTGGCCTCCAGTTCATTGTGAAATCTGCTTGAGGGGAGGAGGAGAAAGAGAAAAAGTTAGATGTTAACAGTATGATGACATCTTGCGCAAGTGGTGAAAAAAGCAAAGCATAGGCTAGCGAGATTTTGTGATTTAAAAGTGCTGATTACACCTCAGTCCTGCCTTGGTGGCTTTGTACAGTTTAGAGTTATTTTTGGAAATGCACAAAATGGATTGTTTTATGCAAAAATGAGATCATCTGTCTGTAACATGACTCTGTCTATCCAAAAGGACATTGTGATCTGCATCCTTCTCTCTGTCTCTCTCACACTTTCACACAACACTCATGCAAACATGCACAGAGAAAGGGTCCGGTACATAGAGCAGAAAGCCAAGAATTTGACTTGAGACTTACACTCTCAGGGAAGTTCCCCTTCCAGGGACGAGGTTTCACGTCTTTCTCCTTTAAAAGGAGACCAGTGCCATACAGCTTTGCTGCTGTGATTTATCTTTACGCAGCCCAACAGGTCCCAGAGCCTGCCCGTCTCCCCCGTGTATCTTATAACTTCCTTTTTTCTTCACCTTCTTGAGAAGTGGGATGAGGTTAGCGGAAATTTCCTTTGGGATCTTTGCTTCTCCATTTACCTGCAAGTCTGGCTTTTTGCTGTACTGGTTACCCACACAGGCAGGGATTTCATTAAGAAACGGTAACTCCTGGGTGCTCCGAGTCTCTCTCTTTTAAACTTCCCAAGCCTCCTTCCCACTCCTTGTTTCCTCAGTCTCGTTTAGCTCCTTTGTTTCCAGAGAGGAAATCACCAGCATTAATATATTTTCCAGGCTGAAGAAAAACAGAGGAATGTGATGCTGAAAAAAAAGAGAATGCTTCCCTTTCCCCTTTCTCCACGCTTCCACAAAAGCAAATGGTAGATGGCTTGTCTTTTTCCCTTCTTGTCTGGCTGCGGTCCCAGAAATGTCAGGGTAACCCCAGCCCTTGCCCGAACCAGCCTCAGACAGCAGTGGCCACTGGAAATGGGGGAAACTTCACTCAGGATTTAACAGCTCAGCAGAACCCGCCTCCTCCCCACTCTACACAGGGAGGGAGGAGGAAGGCTCTGGGAGCTGAAACACTGCACAGCATCACAGAGCACTTCAGAGGGGGTGACTCCAGCCTTAACCCTTTCCTTCATGCGTCTCAGCTCCCTGACGCTCCCCAGCCTCGGCTTTCTCTTTCCGCCCATTAAACCAACACCGTATGGATAAAAAAATAGTCCTTTGAGAAGTGCATTTCTGAATCACTGCCGATAACAGCACTGATGTTTAAGAGTTATTATTTTCTAACCCCATTTTTCCTGCCTCCTATTGCCCTTTTCCTTGTTTGCTTTCTGGGCGTTCTGCAGTGAAATCCAATTTCTCTTCACTTTGCAATCAATTTCTCTTGCAGGTCTTCATGTATGTCAGTATAGTCTTTTCTGCAAACATCATATGGGCATGGCTTTTTGTTAATTTGAAGTTTTAAAAAGATCAGGAGTTTTATTACTGTACTAAAATTAGAGTTGTACGTATTTCCTGTGAATGTGCACTCCCAGTGGAAGAAAAATGAGAAAAGGTGCAAACTTACCTACAGAGATATGGATAAAGACAGGGTCATGTCCTTTGCGCTCTCTTCATGGTGTAAATGACACCGTTCTATTGAGCTGACGTAAACTGGCACAGCTATGCTGCCAGCATCTGGTCTTTAGACGATTGACACTGGCTTCAGTGTGTCATGCACCGTCAGTGTAAAACACCACTTAATTGTAGCTGGTGGATAATACCTGAAAACATTCAAGACCTTAATAAGACTTGTACTGTATTTCATTTATTTACAGAGATGCTGTTATAACATACTGGATATTATCTGTGATAACATACTGGATTTGACCTCAGTTATCAAGGTTGAGAGGAGGAGAGAGGGAAAGGTGTACCTTCTACTTCCCTTACAATTAATTTTTCAAGGATAAAAAACTTTCTTTTCTTTCTCTCTTTCCTTGTTTGCTTCATTTTTGCATTAAGTTGCCCAATGCGCTGATAAGCATTAGCAGTGATTTTGCTAATGTGTGTCCACAGTTTTCATTCTGTGGCCAGGGGTTTGCCCTGGAGGTTGGGGAGGATGCTAAATGCCTGTGCTCACATTAACATGAGTGCAAAAATGCCCAGTATCTCCCAGAGTATCATATCCTACATCCACTGGGAGGCAGAAGGATTGTACCTCTCACAAAGGTCACAAAGCTGGAGTTCTGCAGAGCACAATGGGGAACATTTTTCACTTAAATTAGTGTCAGGTTTGCTGGTTTATTAATCTTGACAAAAAAAAAAAAAAGTCTCTAAACATTACACTTCTCCATTGTGACATTTTAAAGAAACTGTAATTCAAAATGAATTTTTCATTTCAATGTTTCCAAATTTCCAGCTTTGTTACAAAGATCTAACAAAGTAGTGACCCTACAAAGCTGAAGCCAAGTATTTAATTTGGGGTAAATTCATTAAAAAAACCCCAGAACTAAGTGACTTTTTTTTTTTTTTGATGATAATTTGAAACCACAGAGGCGAAACATCACTTGTCTGCACAAGTCTAATGAAGCCAAAGAAAACACACTCAGTACATGACAGCAAAGGAAGAAACCAGTTTTCCATATTAGCTCTGCTGTTTATCCTATCCAATTATAGATACACTAAGGAATTTCTGTGAAGACTTTGCTTTCCTCTCCCAACCTGATTAAAGAAAGTAACATGCTACAGAACCTGTCTTAAATGTATTAAAGGCTGATGGATAAGTGAAGATGACAGATTGTGAGGCAGCTGTAGGGAGGGTATAGCATACAATAAGACATGGGGCCACAGGGATTATTCTCAAAGCTGATGTTTGTTGGTATCTTTATCTGAGGTGAGGAATAAACTTGAAATGACTGATGGAAATATTTGGCGTCAGAATTTCATAGAAAGTAAATAATTTATACAAGCCAACATGGGACTCCTGAACATATATTTTAAAGGGCCAATGCAAGGTCATAAAGCAAGAAGAAAAAAAAATGCACAAACCTTGCATAAGATAAAGAACAATACCATAGAAGGCAGCTATTCTGTAAGTGGCTTAAAGGTCACAGTATGTAAGCCAATGGAAACAAGCTTTCGATGTGATATTGCAGCAAGGAGAAAGTCCCATTTCTCATTGGAAAGCATCCCAATGAGAAGGCTTTTCAAAAGGACTGCAAAGTCTTCAAAAAGTTGATGCCTGGATATGATCCTATTGAAATGGAGGTGGGGAAATAACTATGTAGACGGCACAGCCACACATTGGTCTCCTCATGCCTACACAGGAAAGAAGTTCTGACAGTAAATTGCTTCTTAATCCAGCAGAGGAAGGCAGGAGGATAACCAAAGATTAGGAACTAAATCTTGACAAACGCAGACTTGAGGAATTGCAATTGCTTGAAATTTTTCATATTGGTCTCAGTTAACCTCTGGGATAATTTCCTCAAGAATGTGGTGGTTTTCTGCTGCTTAGTCTTCAAATCAAGGCTCTAAGAGACCGTCTTCGTGGACTGGAAGTCATGGCAAAAGGATGGAATGAGATCCCTATGGACACATCTATGTAGGAAATTTGAGATCAAAAAGGCCCCCACCCCTGAAGAGTGCAGCTCACTGGAGGCTTATGGAAATGAATTCTATAGCCCAATGAACTGACATGAGCAACTTGAGAAAGGTGGAATGCAACGTACAAAGCCTGTAACCGTCAGAGCGGCTTTAATAAGGAATTGAGAGTTAATGCTATGCCCACAAAGGGAAAATACATATATCTTTAAGGATGACAGCCTGTGAGTCTATATTCTGCTTTAGGTATCAGACTGTCAGACTCTACACATCGAGTGTGTGAAGGGGTGTGCATGCAACTACACTGTTTCAGCTGCTAAAGAATTAACAGCAAAGTCAGCTACTTCCTGAACTAGGATTCTTTCTCAGTCCTGCAAAACCTGGAGAAATAAGGCAGCAGCAAGAGGGAGACAGCCGGAGGAGCAAGTGGGAAGATCTCTCCTTTTAAATAGACTTCCAGAGTGTGGGAGCTTACAAGGAAGGTGAAAGGAGGGAAGGAGCTTAGGATAACTGGCATTAGCTACTTTGTACAGTTCTGGGAAGCTGGGAGCCAGATAAGCAGGTGTAGGTTCCCCTGCTGATGCTGGTGGGGGGTGATTAGAGTAGAGAGCACCAGAGCCTGAGTGCTGTGAAGCCAGACATTGTTGATGCTCTGAGAAGGGACAGGTTTCTTGAACCCTGCTGGCTCCTCGCTTTCCTAAGAGGGGAGGAGGCTATTATTAGTGATATGACTGGGGTCACAACCCAGCCGGCAGCTGGGGAAATAACAACTAGTTGTGTAAACAGGGGAACGGCCCTGCAGCCCCCTAGATGGAAGCAGGAAAAGGAGTCAGTACAGAGAAGCTTGCAAAAGCAGTGACCCATAATAAAAAGAGCAATGCCTGGTTAGTGGAATCAAGCTCCTAAAATAGAAAGGCACTTTTGATAAATAGGTTGGCCTCATTTAAGTCTTCACTTTTTAAATATATGTTTTTCTGAGAAGTCTCCAGGAATGTTGCTTAGAACCTGGTGGTGCAATGTGACACTTCAGGCTTTAAAAAATATTGCAAACTTTAAATTTGGGTTGTTTAAACTGAGGCTAAGCCTCTCGGATACTGACAGGGTTGCAGACCCAAAGGTTCAGGCTATGTTTGAGACGAAATTCTGATGTCTGGGTATTATTATTGGCCTGTGCTCAAGGTGATCTTGATTTTAGCACCTCTCCTTGTCTGGTTTACAGCGTTCCTGGTGAGAGGAAGGCTCTCACATAGACCCATTTCTTGTTCTACATCTGGTTGACATCTGGAATGGAAACATAAGGCAGGGAGAATAAAACATCTTCTGGCCAGGCATGACACAAGTTCTATCCCAAACTGACTAATGCAACTGGTGTTATGTACACTAAGGTGAAAGTGTTACACATGTGAACGTATGAATACAAAGATTGCCATCTGCTGGCCTTGCAAACAGTGTTGCCTAGTCACAAGCTAATGGAAGCGATAAAGCCATTGCCGTGTACTGCAAATGATTTCTTAATGGTACAGCTGCTGACAGATAGCATTCAAAAATAGTCTTGGGATAGTTACAGGCTGTCAGTCACAGAAATAGTTGGGAAACGGAGAGTTCATTAGCTGCAGTCAATGACTGGGGCCTCTCTTACAGCAAGATAACCCCACAGGGAAGCTGTACTACTGACATCTCATGATACTGATGTTCAACACTGTTCCATGAAGTGTTGTTGTTAGTTACCTCTCACGAACCACATGCCTGCACAGCTAAATCAATTTGGCCGTGGCAATGAACTCACCAGATGCAAGGGCATGGATTCTCATCTCACTTTTGCACCTCTGCACCAGAGGGCTTTGTGCTAGGTCTGAACACTGATCCACGCCACCTCCTTTCTCTGGCATTCGTTCTTTGTCCCTCTCCCTTCCTTTGTCTGGGGGACTGCCAGCTGATGTCAAGCCCTTCTGAACAGAGGGGGAATTCTCTCCTGGCTCTCACAGCCCCACTTTGTGATACAAAGCAGATTTAAGCTGGTGCTTATGCAACTTCCCTCTTTGCACAAATACTAGGGCTTGCTTTCTTAATGCAGAGCTTCCAGGTCTGATCTCTTTGGTAACTGTTTTGTCCAAATGCAATCACTTATGGCTTTGCACACTTGGAAGAAGATCAAGTAGAAATTGTCCTGAAATACAATCAGCTCATTCACTGACCAGGGAAGATTCAGCTCTCCTCTGCACTGCAGAGGAGTTCCTTTGAGGAGGAACTTCAGTGAGATTCAGCTAGAAAACAGAGCCCACTGATTCAAATGGGGTTGTTCCTTGCATATTTGTGGGCCTCATTATCTGTCCTAAAATACTGTGGCTTACAAAGGGGCTTTTTGCACCCTGTAATTTAAAAAAAAAATAAAAGTGTGTGTGGGTTTTTTTATTTAAAGACTTGTTTTGATTATGAAATTGAAGGGGTAGGAATGGAGGAGGATCATGTTTAAAAACCAGACTGTGCTACGGTTCAGCAAGAAGAGAGCCTTCC